GCCGAGCACAGCAGAGCTGATCGGCCTGCCCGGCGCTGATCGGCCTGCTGATCGGCCTGCTGATCGGCCTGCCCGGCGGCGCAGACCTGTTCAGCAAAGGACGCGGCACGCCAGGCTGGGCCGCACCTGAGCTGGCCAAGCGCCTCAGCGATGGCCGCGTGCCGACCGCGGCGTGCGACATGTACGGCTGGGCGCTGACGCTGCTGAGCATGCTGCTGGGGGTGGGGAAGGACATCAAGCAGCTGCGGCTGGCGCTGGACGGAAGCACTAAAAAGGGCGGCGGGCCAGCTCACTTGCTGGAGTTCTGGGGCCTCCCAATGGCGATCCGGGCGGTGCTGGCGCAATGCTTGGACTCCGAGCCGACCAAAAGGTGCAGTAGATGGCAGATTCAGCCAGTACTATGACTGCGTCTGCGCAGTGAACCCGTCAGGGGCAGAATTTACATCTTGCACGTGTGCGTTATCAAACCCCTCACATCACCAGTTGCCTTCAATGACAAGCCACGCGGCGCCGCTGCTCCCTGCAGGCCCGCACCCTGGGAGGTGCTGCTGGACCCGGTGTTCTGCTTGGGGCGGGAGCAGAACGTGCTGGACGCAGAGCTGGCAGAGCACTGGTGGCGGGGCAACGAGCGCGCTGCGCTCACCTTTTTTATCACCAGCTGCGTGAGGAGGCTGCGTGGGGCGGACGGCAAGGTGGACGCGCAGGCATGTGAGGACGCGGCAAAGCAGTGCGCGGCAGCCAGCATGGCTGAGCTGCGTGAGCGCGCTGAGGGGCTGCGGAAGGACTGGCAGGGCCCAGACCCTTGACGTGCCTTGCACTCAGCACCTGCAGGCCAGCTCCATTACAAATCGAAAGGTCGTGTTTCTGAGGTCGCAAAGTCCAGGGATTATGAGCAGCAGCGGTTTTTTCATGATCACAAAGGCAACCTCGATATTGCATATCTCGTGCTGGCCAAAGACTTCAAAATCCGCTAATGGCGTAAGTAATCAAGTGCTGGTCACAGTGCGTTGCAGATCTTCACATGGCAGTAGTCGGCAATTCTGGGGCCAGGCTTTGGGGGGGGGGGGTGGCGCCACCAAAGGCGGTGTTGACCCTCTCCTTGGAGGAGACTTCAGCGTGGCCTGGTACATCACCGGCAGACTCACGGGGAGTGGCCCCGAGCACGCTGCATACGCACACGCAGTAGCAGAATAGGAGGTACCTCCCTGCACACCACAGACCCTTGGGTCCCAGGCAGACATGCGCCGTGTTGACAAATTATTTGCGAGCTGTAGCCCCTGTCCCTTTTGCCCAGCCCCCTCCCCCACCAACCTTTACCCCTAAACCGTTGGAGAAGGCAGGGTTCACAGCGTTTTGGGCTGCATCCTGCTGCCTGCCTCACCCGTCCCCCTCCACCACTACCCTGCACCCTGACAAGTCTACGCTTGGCAGCAGGCCCTGCGCTTTTTCTCTTGCTGGTCAATCTGTCTCTTTGCTGTCATGCAGTGTCTGGGGGCGGCGGGCTGGTTGCCCACCTTCTTGCCCGGCGCATGTTCCTTCTTGGACCCAGTAACACGCTCACGTCCCCCTGTTGCTCGTCCAGTGGCCTCTCAGGGCGCCTGCGGTGCTTGCTGCGCTGCCAGCCGCAGGTCAGAGGCAGGCATGCAGATCAATGGAAGGTCGCAATCGTTCTAAAAGGATCACGGTCTGCGAAACTGTACCGCCCGTGGTTATTGTTCTGGTCACGCCGTTCATTCACTTTTGATGACCTCCTGTGCCAAATTGAACAACCAAAATGCTTGGACAAATCGATATGGTACATGCATACGCAGCGCTTGGTCAAAGCTTCAATCTTGAAATCTGCCGTGATGATGGTTGTCAGAGTCAACTTCAGGACTGAATGTTTGGACTTGCAGGCACCCTTGACACACGTGAATCTCCACAAAATTTCTGATACACATGGCTAGGGGGGTGCAAGGTGCTTGAGCCCCCAGATCACACCGAGCCACATGCATTGCTGGGTGACTGTCAGGGGGTGATTTGCGTGTGCCGAGCTTGAGAAAGCACGCACTGCGTATCAACTGCAGTATACTCCCGACCGTCTGCTTTGATCGAGGCGTTCAGCCGAAACTGCAAGCCAGGCCCTTGCTCAAAGCACACAAGTCGTGTTCAATCTTCCAAGCGGATTATCGTGTCATCCCGAACTTGTTCGAGCCTCTCCCCAGGCCAGCTGCTCCCCAACCTGTGCAGCACGCTGTGAGCTCGACCCACCAAACCAACTGATGCGCCAGGGCGACGCTCTAGTTTCTGGCAACAAGCACGCAGTCCGCGGCGCACCAATGCAGTTGCCACTGCAACAGTAGATTCCCACTAGCGCCAGCATGCCCTGCGTACGCCAAGTGGGGGCGGGGGCCGCATCCCCCCAGCTGTCGCCCACAAGCCAGTCGCAGCGAGCAGCGGCTGCTGTCATAGTCTGCTGCCTGGCGCTCTTGGCGCGCACGGCGGCAGCCAACGTGAGCCCAGCCCCAGGCGCTGACATCTGCAAGCTCCCAGGACCCTACCAGCTACGTTCTGGGTCAGTCGGTGCGCCGCCCCCGAGGGCTGCGCCGGGTAGCCCGGGGCAACCGGTTTGCCCGCTGGGCGCCGCCGCGCGCGCGCCGCCCCCAGGCGGCGCAGCTGCAGACGCGGGATCCGCGCGCTTCATCGTGCGCTTCAATGGGTACGAGATGGCGTCCGTCCTCAAGGGGCGCCTGGAGCAGGTGAGTGTGGAGCCTCGTGGGGCGTGGAAGTGGCATGTGAGGGCGAGCGCTGCACCGTGTGACATGGCGGCTTGCCTCTTCGGTTTTGCATGGCAGACCAAAGGCGCCGCAGCGAGCGCCATGTCTGTTTGATGCAAGGCATGCCGCGACGCCTACGACCTTCACCTCACGGCTGCGTTGCCGACCCGACAAACCCCACTCCAGGCGGCGGGCCCACAGCCGGGCTGTGGTCACGCGAGCACCAGCCCTAGCTGCGCCCCCGCCGGCGGCTGGAGCTGGGTGCCGCGCGACAACCGCGCCGCGCAGCACCCCACGGACTTCGCCCTGGTGGAGCTTGGCCCGGGCGCCGCAGCTGTCGACGAGTTTGAATCCGCGCTGCGGCGACAGCTGGGCGCGGCGTTCAGGGACATGCACCCCGACAGGCGGTTTTCGGGGCGCCTCAAAGGGCTGCAGGGCAGCGGAGATGCTGTAAGCGGCGACCAGGGTGGCGGCGGCGGTGGCAGCGGCAGCGGCGGGGGCACAGGTGCAGGGCGGGGTGCCGAACCAGGCCAAAGCAAGCAACCAGATGCTCAGCCGCAGCAGAATCAGCAGCAGAATCAGCAGCAGCAGCAGCAGC